GATAGACATTTAGTTTTGGAATCAGAGGGCCTCTGTCCCTCAGGCCCGGTGCACAGAGGTGTCATTGTTATGAGCTGGTGACTAAGCCAAATCCAGGGCTCCGGGCTCCTACCCCAGGGTTCTCTTGGGCTGACTCCGTCCCCAGGCCCTGCCCTGTCCCCAGCCTCCCATCAGGGCCAGCCAGGTGCTCTCTGGGGCTGGTTTCAGCAGGGACCTGCTGTTCCAAGGCTGAGAGAGGCCACGCCCCTAGTGCTGCCCGCCGGGGGAGGCCCCTATGTGGGATAAGACTCAAGAGGGACCCCCTGAGGGTGGAGGCCTGGCTGGGCAAACTACTCACTGTGGCGGGAACAGGTAGGGGTGGACGGGCAGTTGGGCCCGTGGTCCTGGCACCCAGTGGAGTGGGCAGGGCGGAGTCATCCGTGAGTGAATGGCACAAGAAGCCGTGAGACGTGAGACGGGGACAGGCTCCTTGAGGAGGAACTCGGAGCAGGTTCTTCCTGTGACCTCAGGCTGTTTGCACAGGCTGGGCCTGGGGTCTGGGGAGGGCAGACGCCATGAATGCAGGAGATTGATTTAAGGAAGGGCATCAACAGAGGCAGACTCGGCAAATCCCCCAGACTGTTATCCCTCTGCAAACAGGGCCCCTGTCCTGAATGTGGATTCCTTCCTCCGGGTGCAAGAGCTTTGCTGGGCAAATAAAATAAGTGGGCAATCAGCCAGGAGAAGGGGGATGTGGATTGGGGTCTTTATTGGACTAACTAGGCAGTGGGGGGGGGGCAGCCCTGCCCTTTGTCATGCGGAGCCAGCAGCCTGGCTTTCTGGGGCCTTCAGCAGGGCTGGGTTGGGCCTGAAGGTCGGAGGTGGAGAAGCCATCCAGAGGCCAGAACTGCTGTCCTTGAGGGGGGCAACGGAGCGAGGAGGAGGCGGTGAAGGTCAATGCCCCCCTACGAGGGCCCAGCCTTGGGCCTGGAGCTGAGGACACTGTGGGGAGATGGGTCACAGGGGCTGGGACAGGCGGGTGGAGACCCTGCCTCATCAGCACGGATTGGACCCTCACCGGAGTCCTGGCCGCAGGAGAGGCCCACAGGGAAACGTGAGGTCGGAGGTCACCTCCCGGACTCCACGGGTGGGGACCGGCCGAAACAGGGCCTGGGCTCAGGATGAAAGAGGACTCTGAGGTGGGTTGTGGCTGGAGCCCCAGAGCAGGTTCGCTTCTGGGTTAGGGCCCAGTGTCGGGGGTCTTCGGAGTGGCACGTGGCCCCTCTGCAGCCAGGGGCAGACACTCCTGGGGGTGCTCCAGAGACGCCCCAAGGCCCAGCCCCACACCCATGAGCCCCCTGCCCCAAGGCCTGGGGTCCATGTGGCTCCTTGGAGTCTCCAGGTACACCCCTGGGTGGGCCCTCCCCGACCTCCCAGAGCAGCCTGGGGTCTGGTATCAGCAGGGCCGGCCCTCCCCTGGGGCTCCCCGGGCTAAGGAGGTAGGGGACGGGGCCTTCTGTCACCCCGGGTCTGAGACGGGCCAGGAAGGCAGCCTTGGCCTCCAGCGAGGGGGATGTTGAGCGGGTGTTTACTCTGTGCCGGAACTGTGTCTACCCTCACGCGGAGCTCCTGAGCGTGGGATTAACACCCCGCCTGGGAAGATAAGGCGCGAGCAGGTGATGAACTTGTCCAAGGTAACTGGCCGGGTCGGCCCCCCTCCGCGCTCTCATTATCAACTGGTGACCTTGGGCAAGGGTCTGACCTGCCCTGAGCCTCCTTTGTCAAAGGTCCACAGTGTCTCCCTCTGAGGACGGAGGGGAGGGGGACGGTGGGAGGGGAGGGGAGGGGAGGGGAGGAAGACCACCGTGGCACCACCTGAGCAGGGTTGGGGGGGGCCCTGGGCTCCGAACTCAGCTTTGCAGAGGGCCCCCCTTTCCCTGGGGGGCCCGCACTGCTCTCGAGCTGCCTTTGGTGTCAGCTGCCTCTTCACCTGCTCCTCACCAGTGACTGTGTGCTCACCTGACGGAGGGGAAGCGCGCAGGAAGCGCAGCGTGTGGAGATTCGGGCCAAGAGACTGGCCTCTGTGTGCGCAGGCGGACACGGGCGGGGGGGGGGCGGGTCGGGAGGTCTTCATTTGCACGGGTATCGCCGACGGACCGCCACCTGCACCAGCGACAAAGGGAAGCATGGCCCCACCAACACGGCGCCACCGAAGACCAGACTTTAAGGGGGGCAAAGGGTGGGGGGGCAATCGGGACAACCGTAATGGCAGCATCAATAAAATATGGTTTAAAAAAGACCGAACTTTAAATCAAAGTGATCATTCTGAAGATGCAGTAGGTCGTGTTGCCAGAGCAGCAAGACTGGCAGGGCGAGCAAGCACGTCCGCGTTTCTCCGTGAAGCGCAGACTTCTGGGGGGTGGGGGGGGGCAGTGGCGTTCTCTCAAGTATTTACACCCTTTCGTACCTTTTGACTTTTGAACTAATGACAAACAGAATTCAGAAACATTGTTAACTTACATTTTTAAAAGGTAAGCATTGTCAAAGTTGCTCACCGTGTGCAAGATTCGTGTTTATTGAGCACCTACTGTGTGCCAGGCCTCTGCTGATGTCTCCATGAATCCTGACAAGTTCCCAGCAAAAAGCACATTTTCCCCATGTCATAGGAGGAGTCCCATGTTGCAGATGGTCGGAAACGCACGAGAGGCCACGCAGCTAGAATGACGCAGCAAGGACCAGCCCAGGACTCTCGCCTGCCGGGAGGGAGTGGGACAAACTGAGACACGGGTCCCTGTCCTGTGCCCTCACTGGCTCGAGGGAGCCCCAGGCCAGGGCCAGCCTGTATGTGAGGCCAGGCTGCTCTGGGAGGTCGGGGAGGGCCCTCCTAGGGGCGCGTCTGGAGACTCCAAGGAGCCATGTGGGACCCCAGGTCTGGGGTCAGGGAGGCTGACGGGTGTGGGGCTGGGCCTTGGGGTGTCTCTGGAGCACCCATAGGAGTGTCTGCCCCTGGCTGGGAAGGGGACATGTCACCCTGGAGAGCCCCGGGCGCTGGACTCCAGTGTAGATGTGAACCTGCCCCTGGCCTCCAGCCTTCGTCGACCTCACAGCTTTCTCTGGTTCTGAACCCAGGCTCTGATCTTATTCATCCCAGCCTGTGGCAGCTGCAGGATGACCTCTGACCTCTCTGTTTCCGGTGGTCCTCGCCTGGCAGCCCGGACTCTGGTTGGGGTCAAATCCCAGCCTGGTAGGGGCAGGAGGGGGAGAGTGGACACGTGGCCCACTGCACACCGGCTCTCCTGCCTCACCCCTCTCACCCCTCTTTCCGGGACCATCGGGGTGCCAGGTTTGGCGCCCACACCCCGGGCTGGCTGGCCCGCTGCCCTCCACAGTCCCCTCGGCTCTGGGCACCCGGCCGGGTCCAAACAGTCCCTCAGTGAAGGGCCCGATGGCTCTTCCTCCCTTTTCTTCGTCCGGATCGGAGACCCCACTCCGGGCCCCGTGTACCGCCTCCAGCCGCCCAGACCGGTGGAGCTGGGCCAGACGCAGGGAGGGGGTGGAACCGGGAGTGGGGGGGGGAAGCCGCTCCTCCTTCTGCATGACAAAGCTCGGGGGCTGCCCTGCAGCTCTAATCAGCCCATTGTGAAGGGTCTCCCAATCCACATCGCTCTCCCCTTCCGCCGCTGGCTGGGGTGGCCAGTGTTAGTAAATAAAAATACAGGACTTCCAGTGAAATTAGAATTTCAGATAAACAACGAAGGGAGAATTTGTTCCTAGAAGGATTTCCCAAACAGTGGCCTGTGTGTTATTTGTCAGCCCTCTTCCTGGCAGAATGTCCAATTATCTAGTTTCCCAGGGACATTCTTCAGCCAGCCTCAAATCCACATCCAGGCCAGGAAGCCTCCGGGAACTGGGGGGGTGGGCCCCCGGCCCCCACCCTGGGCTGGGGCACGGGGCCAGCTCCAGGGGGTCGGGCAGCGCTCTGGATGGAAAGAATGTGGACAGAACTCTGGGCTGGGAATCTGAAGACCTTGACTTTGTGCAGACGTCCATCGTTAACTGTGTGATCTTGGGGGTGTTGTTGCTTCTCTGAGCCTCGGTTTTCTTGGCTCAAAAATTGGAGAAGGGGATGGGCTGGATGATCCTTTCAACTCTGAACTCTAAATCCATAATGTAAGTCCTTACTGGACAGAACCCCATTGGTGCTAAATGTTCCCAGGACCCTTGAGATGTCCTCCTCCTCTACCCTCTGCACCGCCGCCCCCCCCCCCCGCCTCCCCCCACACATAATGGGAAGCACTGGGTTTCCTAACTGGGATCAGCCCAGCACCTCAGCTGCCCCAGGAGCCCTCTGAGCATGGGGTCCAGGTGCTCAGCCCCGCAGGCGGGCTGGCCTGCAGAGGGCCCTGGGGTTGAGTGGGCAGTTTACACTGCAGCAAGGGGCAGGACTCAGGGGCCACACAGAGGGAGTCCAGTCTGCTGTCCCTGGGGGACTGGGCACATAAGAGAGAAGGGGATCCCTACCCCTCTGGCAGGAAAGAAGCTTATTTATTTATTTGTTTGTTTGTTTGTTTGTTTGTTTATTTAGAGGGAAGGGAGGGAGAAAGAGAGAGAGAAACATCAATGTGCAGTTGCTGGGGGCCGTGGCCTGCAACCCAGTTATGTGCCCTGACTGGGAATCAAACCTGTGACACTTTGGTTCGCAGCCTGTGCTCAATCCACTGAGCTACACTACCAGGGCTTAGGAAAGAAGCTTTTTAATTTGTCTGGTAGGCACCCGAGCCCAGGCACAGACAGCCTGTGTGCCCTTCCCAGACAGCCCCTCCTCGGGGGCTCAGGGACCTGTCTGGCTGCGGAGCTCCCAGGAGGCGAGGGGTGTGACCTCCCCCCTCCTCACCCAGACCCAGGCCCAGCCCAGGGCTGCTATAAAGCTGGCCCAGCCTGGCTCTCAGCACACCCACCTGGGACCCTCCCAGACCCTCCTCAGGGGACACACCGCTCTGCTCCTCCTCCTGAGTGGCACCATGAGGTCCCTGTGGCTCTGCTGGGCGCTCTGGGTGCTGCCCCTGGTGGGCCCTGGGGAGGCCGTGACCGAGGAGCGGATCCTGAGCAGCCTGCTGCAGCAGCTGCACCTCCAAGAGGTGCCCGTCCTGGATGAGAGCGACGTGGAGGAGCTGGTCACCCCTGCCCACGTGAGGGCCCAGTACGTGGCCCTGCTGAGGCGCAGCCATGGAGCCCCCTCCCGAGGGAAGAGGTTCAGCCAGAACTTCCGAGGTGAGGCCTCCTTCCCTGCTGCACCCTGGGCCTTGGGGGGTGGAGGGTAGGGGGCAAGACTGGATGGGCCCATTTGGGGGTCCAGGGTCCACAGTGCAGTGAGCAGGGACCATGAACCGTGCGGATGGCTGGGCTCTGTCTGCACTGAGGGCTCCACCCCTCAGGCTGGGAGGAGCTGTGCCAGGCTGGACCCACTGGCAAAGCCAAGGCAGGAACAGTTATCCAAGGCCCTAGTTGAATAGCTCAGTTGGTTAGAGCCTCACCGTAAAATGCCAAGGTTGAGGGTTCAATCCCTGGTCAGGGCACATAAAAGAATCCATCAATGATGCATAAATAAGTGGAACAACAAAGCGACGTTTCTCTTTCTCTTGAAAGAAAGAAAGAAAAGAGAAAGAAAGAAAAGAGAAAGGAGAGAGAGAGAGAGAAAGAAAGAAGGAAGGAAAGAAAGAAAGAAAGAAAGAAAGAAAGAAAGAAAGAAAGAAAGAAGGAAGGAAAGAAAGAAAGAAAGAGAAATAGCTGTCCACGGTGCAGCGAACTGGAAGGGGGGAACGTGGAGAAGAGAAAACAGGTTGGCAGGGAACCTGAGCAGACAGAGTTGCCTTAAAGAGACAGGAGCTCCAGGCTCAGTTCTCAGCTTTGAACGTTGCTGTTCAACCTCAGATGTGTCACCAAACACCTCTGATTCTGTTTGCTTCCTTGGAACTGAGCGTAACTTAGCCCTGACCACTTCCCCGAGCTGTGGGCATTCCGTGGGAGGTAAAGGGGGGTCTCATTATTTTAGAGATTATCGTCTGAGAACCGCCTGCAGGTCTCACTCCCGTGTCCCAGGTCTCACCCCCACTGCAGCCTGGCCCCTCCCTGAGGCTGGGGCTCATCGCTTCGGTGTCCAGAGCCAGGCCCACAGGCATCCCGCACACACTGCCGCCGCCGGGCTGGGTGCCTGGGGAGAGAGATGAGGAGGCCAGTCGGGTCACAGACACCTCGGTTGGGCTGCCAACCCGGAGTCTCAGGTGTTGGCACCTCTGACCAGGGTGGTGTATGTGTCCCTGCCGTTTACCTCTGGGCTCAGGAGCCCCCCCACCCAAACTGTTTATTTGTAGGCCTCTGGCTCCTCTTGCTTTTTTGGGGGACGTTTCACAGGAGAGAAAATGACAGTACGCTCAGGGCTCCCTCTGCCCCTCAGAAAGAGCCAGGTTCTGCGGTGACCACAGACTCCCGTTGGCGGGGTGTCTGCTACCCACTCTTCCCTCCCACCCTCATGTAGCCGCCTCTGCCTGTGGAGGGCTCCCTGTCACCTGTACACTCCACTCAGGGGCCCAAAGCTGCCCCTGCCCACTGAGGTGGGGGCCGCTAGTAAGCAAGTTCGGAGCACAAATGACTTTCAGGAGACTGGGGCTGACGCCGGAGTTTTTCAGTCCGGGGGTGCTTTGTCTCCTGGCCCACCGGTTCCCCAGGCCCCTGCCCCCACCCCCCAGCGGATTACTGGGGAAATCCTGTTCCCAGGCTCTGGGCCCTGCCACCCTCAGAGGTCCCCTGGTGCCTGGAGAGGCCCCGCTGACCCTGCCCTTGTCTCCAGAGGTGGCTGGCAGGTTCCTGGTGTCCGAGGCCTCCACACTCCTGCTGGTGTTCAGCATGGAGCAGCGGCTGCCCCCCAACAGCGAGCTGGTGCAGGCGGTGCTGCACCTCTTCCAGGAGCCGGTCCCCGAGTCCGCGCTCCACATGCATGCGCTGCTCTCTCCGCGCAGCGACCGAGCCCAGGTCACCATCCAGTGGCTGCAGGTCCGGGATGATGGCTCCAACCGCACGTTCCTCATCGACTCCAGGTGGGGAAGCCCTGGCTAGGATGTGTGTGGGGAGAGTAGGAGGGAGGCGAGGGGGCACTGTTCTAGCCCCCGGAGGGGGCTGGGAAGGGGCTGGAGAGATTCCCCCAATCTCCAGCCCTCAGCTCAAGCCTCTGTCCCCGCCTGGCACCACAGAGCCGTGTCCATCCGTGAGAGCGGCTGGAAAACCTTCGATGTGACCGAAGCCGTGAACTTCTGGCAGCAGCTGAGCCGGCCCCGGGAGCCCCTGCTGCTGCAGGTGTTGGTGCAGAGGGAGCACCCGGGCGGGCTGGCCTCCAGCACCTACAAGCTGGTCCGCTTCGCCTCCCAGGGCCCATCGGGCACCTGGCAGGGCGAGCCGCAGCTGGAGCTGCGCACCCTGGACCTCGGAGAGTTCGGGTAGGCGCTGTGGGGCAAAGGGCGAGCCTGGCTAGGGAATGAATTACACTTAAATTGAAGTGGGCATCTTTTCTCAGAGTGCTATGGGAAAGGATGAGCATATAAAACCTCTCCTTTGAACCTTAGGAGTAATATCACATTGTTATTTATATTCTGGTTATTTTCACTTATCTATCCTTATCACACATACCCAGCTTTTTTAATGTCATGAGGGATGGGCCATATCTCTTCCTCCCACACTCCCCCCAAGGTTCCCCCTGGGTCCCCCGACCTCGGCTCTCCCACCTGACCTCTGACTCCACCGCTCCTTGCCCCCACAGAGCTCAGGGCAACTGCGACCCCGAGGCGCCCGTGAGCCAGGGCACCCGCTGCTGCCGCCAGGAGACGTACATCGACCTGCAGGGGATGAAGTGGGCTGAGAACTGGGTCCTGGAGCCCCCGGGCTTCCTGGCCTACGAGTGTGTGGGCACCTGCCGGCAGCCCCCGGAGACCCTGACCTCCAAGTGGCCGCTTCTGGGGCCAAGAGAGTGCATCGCCTCAGAGACGGCCTCGCTGCCCGTGATCGTCAGCATGGAGGAAGGAGGCCGGCGCCGGCCCCAGGTGGTCAGCCTGCCCAACATGAGGGTGCAGAGGTGCAGCTGCGCCTCGGACGGGGCGCCCGTGCCCCGGAAGCTGGAGCCGTAGGCACCGGGCAGGGCCGCCGTGGGACTGGGCTCCTGTGTGTGTCAGAAGTCTTCTAGGTGCCAGGAGAGATGGGGGTTGCTGATGGGCAAAAGCTCTGTGCTCTCTGCTGAGCTCCCACCTTGCCTCCCCGGACCCATCAGCTCACCTGTAATACTTGCCTCCCAGGAACGAGACTCCCTGGTCGCTATGTGGCCCCTGTCCAGTGTTCTCGACCCTTCACACCATTCCCTGCACTCGATCCAAAGCACTTACCTGTGTAGACCTTGTCATCTGAGCACAGAAATGCCAATCTGTCACTGTTCCCCTGCCCTACCACAGTTCCAGGCTGGAGACCCAGCTGCCACTCTGGTCAAGTATGAACTGTGCGCTCCCAGCTCAGATATGAAGGGCGTTTTGCAAGAAACACGTAAAACCCAGTTTATTCTGTATTTCTGTATTTTACACAGAAGCCTGCCAATTGTGAGGAAACGGCAGGTTCTCTGGGGAGGGGGTCAACCTGATTAGAAGACTGAGGGAAGAGCTGTTAAAAAAGGCATGGTCAAGGTCTCGGTTAAGGAAATCAGGAAGCTAAGACTGAAATGCATTCGGATTCTGGGGTGCCTGTCCTGTTAGAATTGCAGCCGAAATCTTTTTGTCGTTGTTGTCAACATTTTTACTTTTCTGGACACGGTGAGTGGGCTTGATTTTAATGCCACTTGCTACCAAATAAGAAAATCTGATCCAACTCATCAGTGCTACAGTAACGTGAGTCACTCCGTTAGATTTTGGGGTAAAGGTAAAGGGAGCAGGTGTACATGTAACATTTTCGAATGTCAAGATTACAGGGGCTTTTAAGCTGTGACTTTGATGTAGGAGGCAGGCCTGGGGTGTGAGGTCTTGGATTCCTTGCTTGCCTGCTCAGCTCTTATTGGCCGTTAATGCTATACCCTCCAAACTCCATTTCCTCCTCTGTCAAGTACACCCCACCCACTCCCATACATTTACTGGGGCTTCGAGGAAATAATGTTGCTACAAGCACTTCACGCTTGTATGCTACATAACAGGGGCTAAGGGAATCTGAACCCACATTCTGATCCACTTTGGATTTCTGTGGACTTTGAAATAAACGTCACCCATGAAAAATCAGATTTAGAAATCCCTTCCCTCTCTCAAATCAAAGATCCTAACTTTTTCTTTTTGTCGGTGGCTTCATCCTTGTCATTTACTGGGGTTAGAACCTTGCTCTTCCTTGGTGGTGCCATTGAGGCAGGAAAAGCCTGAGGACCGGCAGGTGGCGGGTGTGCAGGTGGGGAGAGAGTGGGCAGCTCAGTCTGGGGAGCTGGGGGAAGTCCAGGGACCAAACCGGGAACCTCCTAGAGGTCAGGTGCGGGGCCCTTCCCAGTGGGAGAGGAGAGGTGGCCAGGGACAGGTGCAGAGGGACAGGGGCTGAGCCCAGGGGCCAAGGGCACATGGTGGGCACTGACTAGTAGCTGGGGTCTGTGGGAGGGAGAGGAGGAGGAATCCAGGTGGGATGGAAAAGGAGTGTCAGGGAAGCAGGAGGAGACTACCCCCCCTCCCAGAGCGCCCCAGGCTGGTGCTAGGGTCGTGGGCGGGAGGTCAGGAGAAGACCTTTCTCATCACGGGAGGAGACGAGAGCTCGGAAGTGGGAGAGAGGGCTGGGAACCCGAGAGGCTGCCCATGTGTGCGCGAAGAGCTGGCAGGATTACTGATTTTCAGGGCTAGGAAGGACCTGGGGGTCAGCTTTGGAGCAAGTCCTGGGTTTTGCAGATGCGGAAACCAAGCCTGCGAGGGAGGGCCCTTTGCACAGCAGGCAGGCGAGCAGGCAGGCCCGCAGGCAGGCGGGGCTCTTCCACTTCACCAGGCGCGTGTCCTCCCTGAGCCCGGTCCTGCGGCCTTGTCCGTGCACACCTGCCTTCAGACCAGTTCGGAGGAAGCACCCTGGTACTTAGCCCGGGCCTGGGCAGTAGCCTGCGGCTTCGGTTTGGGGCCACACACCGGGGAGTCCCACCCGGGGCCCTTCCGGCGCGCTGGGGAGCCGCCGCCTCTCGCAGCGGCGCCAGGTGCCCGCGGACTGCCGGAAGCAGAGGTGCTGAGCCCTGCGGAGCTCTGCGTCCTCCCACTCCCCGGGGCGCCCTAGGAGCCGTCGAGGAAACACAGTGCAAAACAGGATCGACCATGAATGTTTGCGGGTGCTCTCCCTCCACATCCCCGGGCCGCGACCACCTGTGCGTGGCCCAGATCTCTCCCACGCGCGCGGGGTATGGGGACGCGCCAGGGGGGCTGATGAGGGGAATTAGCCCTGGCGACGTCCTCCTCGGCCCCTGGAAGTGAGCAGGCGGGGGCCAGGGACGAGGGCTGCCAAGGGGCGCGCGGCGCTGGCGCGAGTGGAGGCATCAGGGTGGACGCCAGCGCGCGCGGCTGCTGCAAATTTGGCAAGCAGTGGCCGCCGCTCTGCGCATGTGCAGGAGGCGCGGGCCTTTCGCTTAGTAACTTTCAAGTTCTCCTGGCGCTGCTCCGCGGGACCAGGTGGAGCCAGACAACTTCCTCGGGGCTCGCCACTTGCTTTACCCCCGCAGGTAAAGTGGGAAGGGTCGTTGAGCACGGGGAATGTCTCCTTTCGCCTCTCCCGGACGTGCGGAACCTGGGCTCTGCGCCGGGGTGCCACGTCAAGGGTCAGGTTTCGGGGCGCAGCCTCGGGTCCCCGCAGCCCCCACTCAGCGAGGTGGGCGGGTGGGTGGGAGGGAGCAGAGGGTCAGTCCCCGGGCGGCGCAGCCCCGGCGCCCCCATTGTCCCTGGCGCTCCTCCGGACTTCTCTCCCCGGCTCCAGCTTTTCGCCTTTACGCCCATCCCTCCCCTAGTCCCTCCCCTGTCTTTGGGGATTTGTCAACTGGAAGCCGACTTCCCAACCGCGGGTCGCGCCGCCTCGGGCTTTCTCTTCCCGAACTATAAGCGAGGCAGACCTGGGGGAAGAGGTTCAGGCGCCCGAGGCCCCTGCCGCTGGAGAGGTTGAAACCACCGGGTCTGTCCCTCAGTAACCACTCCCTAGAGCCCTGGTGGAGTCCCGAGGAGGAAGGCTGGGAGTTTGGGGGAGGGACAGGGACAGTGAGGAGAACTCTGCTAAGGAACCGAAGCCACGGAGGTTTCAGGACCTGATAACGACCGGCTGGTTCCCTGAGACCCTGGGGTGGCCTCCGTATTTCAGTCCCAGGCACTGTCCCCAAGGGCAGGAGTCCACATCGCGTTTGGCGCGCTCACCTCGGAACTGCCTTCTACCCTGAAGTTCCTTGTGCGGCTGTGTCCCAGCCCCTGCAGCGTTAGGGTCTGAGGCTAAGCCAGTGGTTGTGCTCACCAGTCTCCAGCCTGGTGGACACAAGGGGGCTGTGGGAGGTACACACATCCCGGGCCTCTCTGGCTCCTGCCGGGTTGTAGACACCCACCGGGGTGGAGGAAAGACTGCAGGTCGTCCCTGACAGTTTCTCCCTTCTCCCTGCGCCAGTCCCACTCTCTCTTGCCTTTCTCTCTCCTCCCTTCCCTGGACACCTGTGGGAGCCCTGAAGTTGCTTCTGCCTTGAGGTCAGTGTGAACAGAAGCAGAGGCCACTTCCCCCTCCCCCCACCCTCGTGTTTGTTTAGTGTTGGGACAAAGGTCTCTCTTGGCTGCTCACTGGGCTCTATCGGAAAACATCAGAAGGGATCCCGCTGTTCCCCCATTTGCTGGAGGATGACTTAAAAGCAAACTGGCTTCCGAGCGTTCCCAGGGCTGAGCCCTGGGCTGTGTCCTTCATGGGCATCCTGCCGGGTGTGGGCCTCCCGGCAGCCCTGTGAGGGAAGCATTATTGTCCCCACTTTATGGAGAAGGAAGCCAAGGCACAGAGTGGTTAAGCCACTTGTCTGGGTGACACGGGCCGGGGACCCTAACTCCAGATCCTGTTCTGGTAAATGCTGGTCACACGGCCCCTCGTCACTCTGGACTTGGTGCTGGTTATTGACACTCCAGGGCTGACATGTGTGTGCAGGTCAACAGTTGTGCAGGTTCCTGGGTCCTGTTTGCCGGCCCTTCAAGCAGAAGTCTGGGTTTACTTTGCAGCCTTCTTCCGCATCACGAAGATCAGGCTGAGCTCCTGTGGCAGAGGGGCCAGGGCTGCTTGGAGTCCTGGGGGCGTTGTAACAAAATCGGGAGACTCGGCGACATTAGAAATACCTCGAGTTCGCACGCAGCCTCCTCGTGAGAGCCCGCTGCGCACACACACTTCCTGCCGCGCTCTGCCGGCACTTCTGGAAGACACGGAGATCTTCAAGTGTGTGCGAGGGCCCGTCCTTGCTGCCAGCTCCAGCGGGCAGTGCGTCCGCATTGGTGGTGGACCTCTTCAGCAAGTTTGAGACCGGCTGTGGGGCTCAGCCCTCTGTCCCACTGTCCCACTGGTCACGGTCAGATCCTGTGGTGTGCACGGGCGGAACTCTGAGTCGGGGGACAGAGCCACCTGCCGCTCCCCCGGCCCGGCGGGAAATCTTGGCTCTCCTATTGCTCAGGGTCTTGGCTAGGAATGAGGTGATGAATACAGACCTCTCCGGAAGGCATGGAGAAGTGCTAGGTATTCGCAAATGCGTATCAAACAAATATCAGATGACTGGATATTGCGAAGGTGGTGGCCAGGCAGGGCTCCTGTGACCACAGGGCGTACTTGCTCGTTTGGACCCTGCCCAAACTATCAGTGTTTCACCTGCTGAGCCAGCTCCGTCCTGATCACTACCAGCTGGGTCCCTCCCCACCCCCACCCCCCGCCTGGCAGAACTGTCCTCTCAGAGGTGCCTTTTCTGGAAGATGTAGAGAGGCCGGCCCTGGAAGGACCGTGCTGGTTCATCAGAATCTGGGCTTGTCGTGTGTAGTGGTCAGGGACAGGCTGCGGCTGAGCTGTGTGAAGGGTCTCGGAGAGCCTGCGGGCCTCCAGAGCTGTGCTGGCCCCTGGGCACCTGCCCTCGATGGGGTAGCAGGGACAGGCT